GATACAACTGGCTTCACACCTCAGAGAAAAACTGGTAGAAATTCCAACAAGCAATCGAAGCAGCAATCTCAAAACACGAAATCACACCCAGGACAACCAACAATCAATGGAATTTCTTCAAGGACACTATCCTGAAAGCAACAAAAAATTCAGTAAAAAGATCAAACACCATAGCAGATTTACCTATAACCAGACCACACCCTCACCAATCTCCAACAAAATAACTGATATACTCAAACTTCTTCAATTAGTAAAACAAGTAAAACAGGTGCCTTACAATTTCAACATAACCAAATTACAAGAGTGAACAATCTCTCTGCAAACAACATTTCCCCAAATACCAAAACTACCAACCATTAGCATAAACATCACTCAGAATGCAGAACTCAACAACTGGATCCAAGAACTCAACTCAATTTTAATTAAGCTCAAAACAGCGTATCAAATAATTACCAAATACAAAACAAAGCAAAGAATCACAATAGCAATATCCAGGAGACTACAATACATAAATAGTAATAAATGTGCAATGATCAATAGTATTTTAGAAAAACCACACAGACATATCACCCTAAACAAAATCATAACAGAAGAATCCATCCCAAGGATCATAACTGAACCATCCCAGATCAAAGACACAGTCAGGGCACATTTTAATCTTTGGACAGCAAAAAGAAATACACAAACAATTACTCAATGGCCTGAATAGAAACATGAATACAAATCGAAACTCAACATTGACAACAAGTGGTACAATTCCACAACACATCCCATCACTAAAGAAGAAATACTCAAAATTATTACCACTAGAAGCAACACATTATCCCCAGGTCCATCAGAAATCCCCTATATTGTTTTCAAGAAACTAGGCCCCAAAGCAATATCTCTTTTCACAGATCTTTGCAATAACATCCTCAAAACACAAATAATACCTGATGATTGGAAACAAGGAAACCTAATCCCAATTTCCAAACCCCACGAATGGAACAACAATCTTAGAATAACCCACCCAATTACACTCCTAGAAACTAGCAGAAAAATTTTTACTAAATGTATTAACAACAGACTAGCCAAAGTCCTTACCAAACATGAAATCCTATCCCAACACAACTGGGCAGCACTACCAGGATCTAGTACCCAAGAACCAATACATATCATTCAAAATATTATAGAACATGCAAAATTGAACTCACAACAAGCCTGGATTCTTAATCAAGACATGCAAAAATCTTATGACTCAGTTCCAATTACAATGTTAATCAAGGCTCAAGAAAAAATCAAAACCCACACAACATCACAAATATTATAACAAACCTTTTCTCATCCCACCACAACACAGTTTCCACTCAATTTGATCCTACTGAACCATACTTAATAAAGGATGGCATCGACCAAAGAGGCATCATCTCACCACTCCTTTGGCACATCTTCTATGACCCATTACTATCTAGAATAGCAACTGCTCACAAAGATTACACAATAACAACCAAAACTTGCGATGACATCAGACAAGGATGGACCCTGAAAATTATCAATATTTCAGCATGTGCCTATGGATGACACCACACAAATTGCAAACAACTAACAAGAGCTCCAATATATCCTGGACACTGCAACATCATTCTACAAACTAAATGACATTCAAATCAATCCAGCAAAATCAGCACTTCTCATCATCAATGGCACACAACCTGATAGAGATCAAGGAGCAATACTTCAAAACCAAACCATTCAAGGCCTGACACCCACCATTCCAGTTAGAATACTAGGAACATGGCATTGTGCCAAAGGCAATAAATGACACTAAACTGCATTTATGAAAACCAAAGCAAACAAAATTGCAAAGCTAATTGGATCCAAGAAAATAATAGACAAACAAAGCAGATATATCCTCAATCATGTTCTAATTCCAAGCTTGAAATATCTTCTCAACGATATGATATTGTCAGAGCAAAAATGTCAACAAAGAATGTCCAAAGCTCTCACAACTTTCAAGCATAAAATAGGACTCGCAAACACAGTTCCTAATAACACACTCTTCAGCAAATTCAAATATAACCTCATTAATCTCTATGAGTGACAAATCCAAATGCATGCATTCAATTTCATCTCTAGAATCAACAACAACAACCTTGTGGGTATCACAATGCGGTATAGACTACAGGACACCCAAAACTCCTTCTGGGCACCCATTTCAGTTACACAATATATTAATAATAAAATTCTGCCTACTGGTACCAATCTAATACACGATATCATTTGGGAACTCAGGAAAGTTGGAATCCAATTTAATACATCACCAGAAATAATAATTACTCAAAAACTTGGAGACACAATAGAACAACATTCAGGCAATAAATGGTTTAGCAATCTAAGACACAAACTGGCCAAAAACAACTTGATATTCATTAGACAATTAATGAATAAGGACTATACAAAGACACTCTCATGGCCCCAACTCCATGTGAAGGCCAAAAATCTACGCATAGGCAAAGAACTCCACTGGTACACAGATACCAGTTCCAGGCTCCAAACCCTTTTAGATCTTGATCTACTGGACTACCGGGGCACACAGAACATCTTTCACTAATACATCCCAGGCCCAATAGCCAGAATACACAAACATCACTAGGCAACTACACTCAATGCCAATATTGAAACCATAAGCAAATGTCTTAAAAATATACACAATCATATTATCTACACACACTACAAAAGAATAACAGGAGGCTCCCCAATAACTTCCTGCAAAGGATGCCGACTCAATGAAAATTATTCAACAACCAAGAAATGCACCTTCTCCATCAAAAGACAAGAAATTATCCAAATCCCTGTTTACAAAACCAAACACAGCAACAACAATGTATCCAACCCAATTCCAAACCTTAGAATTAGAATATCATCTCACAGTACATTCCAAGCCCACACTTTTAATAAAGCTGAGAACCCAAAACAACTACTACCCCAACCAACAATCCTAATCCCTCCAGACAACTATTATATCAACAATATTCACAGATATTGGGAAGGAGACCCCAACACAATAAAAGACCTGATAGACATTGCAACTTAAATTAAAAACTTAAACCACCTGTCAGCCTTCATAGATGGATCACTAACAAGTCACAATAACAAACAATGTATGGGAATTGGATGGGTTATCCAACATGAAGGAAGGAGCATAGCATCATTTAAAGGACAAATTAGCACATTCCCATTATCCACAAGGGCAGAATTGGCAGTGATCCTCTCACTGCTTATAGTATTACCCAAAAACACAGACATTCACATCCACACAGATAGCCAAGCAGCAATCTAGGCAATAAATCAAGCTAGAATACTCCCACTCCACACATTGATTCAGAAAACTAAAAACTAGACCCTTACTCTAGCTATTATAGAACATAGCAAATCAACCCAAATTCCTCTAATTCTACACAAAGTTAAAGCTCATAGTGGCATCCAAGGCAACGAAGAAGCAGATCAACTAGCCAAAATTGATTGCAAAAACATGATCCCAGGCACAAGAACAATCTTCATAAACACAAAACTATACTCAAATCAGGGCTTCGCAAAATGGAAGAACGAAATCATTGACACTTCAATAAAAGAATTCTGCAAACTCATCTTTCAAGCTAAATACATCATACAGTGGAGTCTTTGACACAGAAATTATATACAGATCAACTATTTCTCAGAAAACACACAGACTAGAAAACAACATTCGAAAATATCAATCCCAGCAACATCAATCAGGAAATCACATCATTTGAAGACCATGCACAAAGAAAATTCCAAATCAATTTATGGAATCAAGAACTCCCAACAATGAGCAAGCTTCACAAAAGAAACCCAACAATATATCAACAAAACACATGCATGATATGTCCAAAAGTAAAAGACAACTTCTACACACTCACCTGCATAATACCCATGGACATTCATGCAAAACACCTGAGAAATATTATCACATTACTCCTAAGTATAGAAGGTAATTAACAAGAAAAAAGACAAACACAGCAAAAAATCCACACAATGTTTCAGAAAATTTCTCCCATCACAACAGAGAAATCATTAAAGGACACGTCAGTACAGAACTTACTAAGAAAACCAATAATCTGGTATACCATTTATGCACACAAAGGCTGCACACAATATACCAAGAATTTCAAATACATCTTGAAAAAATGTGGAAAGACAGATGCATAATCATGAACAATTGGGAAAAATCAAATGGAATATCAGCTAGAAACAAATGGCTCCGCAAAACCACCCAAAAAAGAAACCCAGACAATCAAGATCAAATGAAAAAAGCAACACTCCAAGACCAAAGAATCAAAGACATGTTCCCACTTTTGGTCAACCAATTCATCGACAATCACTTTAAAGGATACACAAACATTTTTTTTATCATTCATTATTATCTTTTTATCAACACTAACACGGCCTCCTTGGCATGTTAGGCCCCCTCGGGGTGGCAACAGGCCAATCAGTAAGAAAGCATGATTTCTTTAAATAGCTGAATTTGTAATAAGAAGTCAGTTGTAAATACATAACAAATGTATACAACAAACTTTTTAATAAATAAAGCAAGGATGAGCCAGTTTATAAAAAAAAAAAAATTGGTGATTACATAATTAATTGGTGGTTATATAATTAATTAGTAATTAATTGTTGATTATATAATTGATTAATAATTAATTAGTGATTATATAATTAATTAGTAATTAATTAGTGATTAATTGGTGATTATATAATTAATTAATGTTAATTAGTGATTACATAATTAATTAGTGATTAACTCTCTTTCCGCTGATCCTCTGACCACACACAAAAAAGATGTTCGCAAGAAGTTTTTATACTTCCTTGCTAATAA